GGCCATATTTGTTCATGGATCAAAAATTCGGATACAATTTATAAATTATATAGATTAAGTATTAGGCCCAGTAGTTTCAGAGGAGAAATGTTAATGTTAGCAAACATGTTGAACAAATAGTGTAAAATTGTCTTTAAAGGGCAATAACTCCTGAAGGGGTCAATTGACAATTTTGGTCATTAAATTTTTTTTGTAGATCGTACTTTGCTGAACATTTTTGCTGTTTACAGTTTATCTTTATCTTCAACAATATTCAAGATAATAACCAAAAACTGCAAAATTTCCTTAAAATTGCCAATTTAGTGGCAGCAACCCAAAAATGGGTTGTTCGGTTCGTCTGAAAATTTCAAGGCCGTTAGATCTTGACCATAATAAACATTTTTACCCCGTCAGATTTGCTCTAAATGCTTTAGTTTTTGAGATATTAGCCAAAAACTGCATTTGACACCTATGTTCTATTTAGCCATGGCGGCCATGTTTGTCGATGGATCAAAACTTCGGATACAATTTAATAACAAGATACCCTAAGGAACATTCAGTTAAAGTTTGAAGGTATTTGACCCAGTAGTTTCAGAGGAGAAGATTCTTGAAAGTAGTTTACGACGACGACGACGACAGACAGACGACGACAGACGACGGACGACGACGGACGACTACGGACGCCAAGTGATGGTATAAGCTCACATGGGGCCTTTCGGGCCCGGTGAGCTAAAAATAAAATAACTGTAATATAAGGCAAGATTATGTAAGACCAAACCGTAAACACACATGGAAAAAAAAAACAACATAAAACCAAAATCCCTATAGACGAACCACTAGTAACTCGACTATACTGACAAATAAGACATATGTGAAATGTACCGAAAATATAGAATTCAAACCACAAACTAAATAAACAGACAACTCAGCACAAAATGACCCACTGGACCCACACGTATAAGAAAGTAACAACAAAATGCAAGAACGCGGGATATATATGAATACCGAACCATGTCGTCTCCCAGCAAGGTATTTTGAGTGTAATATGAAGACCAATTTTCCTCGATTATAAGATTGCCAAATGCATAGTCATATTATCTGGCTTTCATTAACGTCGATTTGCTCCTGACGAAAAATTTCTTCAGCAGGGTAATAAGGAAGAATGACTGCAATCGGCAAAACACAAGTTATACGGTCTCAATCAAGATCTTTAGATACTACGAAAGTCTCTTATCTGTAAATTTACCTATTGATATCTATTCCCTGTGGTAACATTTTGGCTAATTGGATACGCATGGCAGGTGCTGCATGCATAATAGCAAAATCATAACTTAACATCTTATTGACGTAAAAGGTTTCGATCCTTTTGGATGCAATTCTTTCATTTTTTGCCTTTTACCTTGATTTGTACCTTCTTAATTGATTGATGAGATAAATGAATGGCAAATTGTTTGCTTTGCTGTTACATAAATTTTGAAGTCATTTTGAGTTAAGGAATATATCTACCTCATTCAAAGCTCTGATTTCTTGCCTGCGTTGGCTATATTTTTTTGTCCTTATTGGTTTATAAGCTCTTCATTTTTCATACGCGTTGGATTTTCAAATATTTTGGCTTCGAGCATCACTGAATAAATTCGTGACGGTGTATGTAAAATTTGTGTAATGTTGTTTCAATTTTTTTTCCTAATCACATTAATGGAGCAGATTTCTGTTAGTATATCCCTGTAAATGAAGTCTGTATCATTTACAAATGCATTTCATTTGCGAGTTTTCACTATACTATACATATTGGGTAGAGAATATGAGAAATGGATAAACTAAATCGTCTCGATTGTCATATAAACCGGTGTGAGTCGTCCATTTGAATAATGTTTTACAAATGGATTCTGAGATGAAAAAGACCTTCAAGTTTTAATAGTATCCGTATGCCAATTTCACAGGGATGAATGAGATGCAATCACTCGTTTAAATGTGAGGTAAGGATGATATGCTATTTGCAATACAATTTAAGATAAATGTAAATATTTTTATAAACGTCTGTGATTGGGTTAAGGTTTTGAATGAATTCTGATTCATATGAATTCGACCAATAGGGATGCACAGTAAGCACCATTTAAAATACCGACTGCGTGTTGAAATAGCAACCCCCAAAATCGACATAAATCTTGTCGATAAAAAAATCCAGCATTTTGTTTTATTAAAGTAAATCTGTATTAATCACATTAAGTCCCCACCAATATACGATAGAAATTGACGGTATCTACGTGAAAAAACGAACATCATTATCAAGCAAACAATAATGATGCGTTGCATATACAATCAGGAGATGTTATCTGATTGCCAACTACATGAACAATGTATCTATCAGTGTACAAATAAGTAGATTTAAGCAACTATAGGTCACCATGTAAAATACTAGTTAGTGTTTTTTTGTTTGTTACTTTCACAATTAAAAGAAATGATAATGTCTCTAACGAATATAGTCACACCAACATATATCTAAGGACCGTCTAAGTTAAATGGTTGATTGAAAAGATTATGTTGTTATGTACCAAATTGTATTGAAGAGGGACGAAAGATACCAGAGGGACAGTCAAACTCATAGATCAAAAACAAACTGACAACGGTCAACTGAGATAACTACTAAAGTGAATGTTTGAGTTCACACTTATGTATATGCAATTATACAGTACTTGCAAAATCCTTATATCAGTGCAATATGTACCAAAATATTCACATTTGCAATGATATAAGCCTTGAGCTACTCGATCCCATATAAATATAATGAAATGCAAAACATATTTATTCTGGGGAAATATACGATAGGAAGATTCAAAATGCAAAATTGTCATTATTCTATAGATTTGTTTCCCTAATATACTGTTTTTACCTATTACATATTAGATTTTACAAACTCAGCCCTTAAAGATGCAATATCTTCGAATGTCATGAATACTTTAAGTCCGTGAAAATGCAATAATTTCATTGATATCAATGAAAAAGTATGTTTCGTGTCATTTTTAGGACTCCAATGATTGTAACTAAGAACAATCTTAGAGCTATTTAAAATTCCTCGCAAAGCTTCATGCTATCGACTGAAATTTCATTGTTAACTGAATAAATAAATGATCAATAATTTGAAACTCGTTGGTTAAATGTGCAATACATTTTGGATACCTGTTGTAGCAGTTTCTTATGTTTTTTTTTTATATCATTGTGTTTTGTCCTTTCTACGTTTTCTTCTGTCGTGTTCCCTTTAATGGGACTCTCGGCTGACAATATTTGTTTACAGTGAATTATTTTCCGATTAAATCAGTTTCCGACCTTATCTTATATTTTGAATATCAAACTTTCCTAAATCGTGAATATGACTTCTAATACAGACTCACACTCTCATTTATTTCATGGTAGATCTAAAGAAAATAATTGTTAACACGTGCTAGACTCATTTATTCGTTGAGTACATTCAGGTGAGATTTTTGTAAAATCGTTACCACTTTAAGTAGATTGAAGTCTTTTAACTCGACGTTTACACTGACTACTTATATTTATCGTGGTCCAGGCATTACTCGCTAAAACTTCTCTACGTTCTGCTTTTTAGTTGAATTCGTCAAAGTGTCGGTTTACCTCGATTACACTTTGTGATAATAATACTAATTGATAGGTTAATCCAGGGGTATGTGAAATTGGGCGGGTTTTCAAGTGAGTTTTTGTGGGACCGACACAAATTCAACTTGTAGATAAAAGGTAAACCTTCAAAAGGTAATTTACAAGAGTAAATTATTGCGAAAAAGACGTCAAGAGTTGCCCCTTAACATATTCATTCGTATTTGATATACACAATGATGTCCTATATTCTTGAATAAAATGGTCAACCAATGTTTTGGTGAAACCTGCAAATACTGCCTCTTTAAAATATCTAAAGAATGTCAAATTGAAAAAGACCAGGTTCGATACAACTGCTGCTGGACGTTTCGTCCACGAGCATTACACCAAATCAGTAGTAGGCACGTCTATCTCATGAAATATCATTGATACATTGATGTATCGTACATTTTCTATTTTAGAAATGTGTAATTATTCATTACAAAAGTGTTTCTAACCCAGGCATATACAGCTTTGGCCGTATGTAATTGGCATTATTGTTCGGAATATTTGGTTTCTATACTAAAACCTCTTCGTATTTCAGCTGGCCTTCTGGTTTTTGTTGTTTTATGTATCCGTTTTTATTCTGTAGTTAGTCACCACTTCGGTGTTATCATGTATATCTATTATATAGTCACTTTTATAAATTTACTGTTTGCAAAAGTATGAACTATTCTAAATACTAAGGATTTTCTTATCCCAGACATATAACCTTAGCCGTATTTGGCACAACATTTTGGAACTTTTGATCCTCAGTGCTCTTCAACTTTGTACTTGTTTTGGCTTTTGTACTTTTTTGATCTGAGCGTCACTGGTTAGTCTTGTGTGGACGAAACGAACGTCTTGCGTGTTAAATTTTAAACCTGGTACCTTTTGTTAGCTATTATTCGTATGTTTCTCTGTCCAATATGTTCTCCCATTTGTTTGTATTGTAGTCCTGTCATGTAATGTTGTCATTTTAATGTTATATTTAACATTGCCATAAAAGCGGGAGGTTTGGCTAGCCACAAAACTAGGTTCAATCTACCATATTTTTCTTAAAATATCCTGTACCAAGTCAGGAAAATGGCCATTGTTATATTATAGTTCGTTTCTGTGTGTGTTACAATTTAATGTTGTGTTTCTGTTGTGTCGTAGTTCTCAAGATGTGTTTCCCTCAGTTTTAGTTTGTAACCCGGATTTGTTTTTTTTCTCAATCGATTTATGAATTTCGAACAGCGGTATACTACTGTTGCCTTTATCTTCCAACTATTTTATTTTGAGCGCCATAGTTGAGTTTTTTGTTGAGTAAATGCGCGTCTGGCGTACCCAATTATAAGCCAGATATCTTTTTTGTTATTGTTTTAAAAATCATAGAAGCGTGTAACATCAATTTATGATACAAAATATTTGTTCAATACGTTTACATTTGACGTATTTTTTCTGTCCAGGGATTTTTTTTTGCAAATTGTAAGTTGCAAATTGTTATAGAAATAATCAAGACGTTGCAATAGCTTTCAAAATACATGCATATTAGTGCACACATTATTCTAAAATTTGAGTGGAAACCTATTTATTTGTCGACTCTGATAAAACTGAATGTTTTTTTTTCCTGAAGAATTAAGTGCCGTTTTCCTATTTTTAACAGTATCTGTTTTATTTATTCAAAACCAAAACATACAAAAATATATACACTTTTTAACACATCATATATCTACACTAACAAATTATTAAAGCACGAAGATATGACAACAACAGGACACTTGATGAAACGAATCAACGTATAACTAAGAGAGAGCCGTTATATACCGAAGAGATATTGAAACTCATAATACTAAAATAACGTGACATGGTACGATTGCCAGTGAGACAACTATGAGCAAGAGTTCAAATAAAGCAAAGACAGGTCGACGTACGGCCTTCAGTTATAAAATTCCTCATTATTACAAAACATAAACCATTCAAAATAGGAAATAAATGGCCTAATCTATAGAACAAAATTATGAAAAACAAATATGGTAGACATGAACCAAACACAACCACTAAATTACATGCTCCTCACTTTGGACATGTTTATAAAGAATGTGGCGCGGGAGTTAAACATGTTTGTGAATGCTCAATCCTCCACCTGACCTTGAACAACAGCACAACATTAGAACAAACTGTAAATATCATTTATAAATTGCTTAACTGAATGTATCGGTACGAAACACACACAAAAAAAAAAAAAAATAAAAAAAATAAAAAAAATTACATAAACACAATGATACGAAGCACCGATATAAGTGTACTAGCAAATACTGAAAGCTAGTTCAAAGCCAATAACAACTAATACATAAAACATGTTCTCCCAGACTAAAATATCAATCAGTACACATCCAACGGATTTAGTCTGAAGACATCATAAACAATCTGAGGAATGCATGACCTTATGTAATGCCAAAATTTAATTAAACCGTATCGACAGGATGTTGCACCATTAATACGCATAACTGTATACCAATATATATATAGGTTTTTTTTTGATAATCTGTAAAAAATCTGAAGGAATGTAATGCCAATAAAAACAATATATAAAGATTTTACTACCACTAGTAAACCAACTTTGATCTGAAACGGTAATTTTGGTCTTATCGATATTTAAAAGAATGATCAATGAATTATCAAGTTATTTCAGTCTTTCAGTAAACCTTTAGACTTATTCAATGTGGTAAATTCAGATCTGTTCAAATAAATCGCATGAAGTCAATTACGATCTGCTCAGTCCAGGTTTAGACTGTATAGCACTTGTTTTTTTTTACCTGTACACATAAACAACATACTGAATTGTCTGAAAACAATAGAGAACAGTTATGAACTTACCGCAGTCGATTAGTCTGCAAAATGACCGAAAAACTGAAAATGACTAAATAATTTATTGTTCAGACCTTTCAAATGGTGTTTACACCGAAAAGGCCGTTTCAGATCAAAATTGGTTTAATGGTGTACAGTTTTTAATTGATGTCCTTAAGGAATAGGTTTATTAAAATGATCAATACGTTCACATGGACTGTATCTAGATTTACGGGATCTATAAACTACATTACCGTAAAAATTATGATATCCCGTTTATTGTAAGAATTTAAAAGGAACAAACAAACGTCCAAACCAGATCTTTGTATTTTAAAAGAATTATTTAAAGATTTAAAGAACTGAGGAGAAACACAATCCCTGACTTAATAGTTTACCAGTGATACAAAGATTACGCTCATTGTATTCTTAAACGTCACTATAGACACTGATATAGCGAAACAAATTTGAAATATAAACACCGTTAGAAAGGGCAATAGAAACATCTCCGTCCTAAAATTTGAAAAATAAAAATAATAGACGATAAATAGGCTCTTTTGTCGTAAACGTTTGTACAGATTTTCCCGTGTGAGACAGAAAAATTTCAGAAAAAAGGACAACTATTGCTGTTTGCATTTGATTTATTTAAAGTAAGTTCCCTTGGGTAAATTTTCCCAGTATTAATAGAAAGTTTGTGATTATCTAAAGTAAATATATTACAAAAGTAAAGGTAACAGTAAGTGTTATTTAAATCATGAATTAAATGTAATCTAGACGGATCTTTCCAGACTTATGATGCCCTAAACTTTGATTCATAAAAATACAGGAACACGTTTGGTGTAAGCAGGGCGCAATTGGTACCCATAGTAGTACCTACAACCTTTAGACTAACGTTATTGCGTAAACGTACACATATGATCTCCAGAAGAACTTTAGCAGTTTTAGTCGTCTCATTACGCTCCCAGTCAGTATATCGAGCATATTTCCTGTTTTGATTACAGAAGCTGCAAATAAATCTCCAATCAGATTTTTCAAATCATAATTTGATTGAATAAAATAACTTCTGTTGGATAAGATCGCGTGGAAGTGTAGTGTGCAAAGTTAAATAGTTATAATTGTCAACTGAATTGAACGCATCAAAAGAGGGACGAAAGATACCAGAGGGACAGTCAAACTCATAGATCGAAAACAAACTGACAACGCCATGGCCAAAAATAAAAAGACAAACAGACAAATAATAGTACAGATGACACAACATAGAAAACCAAAGACTAAGCAACTAAGCAAAAAGCAAGTTATTTATCCGAAACATCCATAGAGTTTTTGACAATCCAAAAATATTTAATTTCATTGTTTTTATATACTTTATTGCAAAGATTAGTAAACAGTTGTTTTATAAATTTAACGCAACTAATTTATGTCACAGAAATATATGTCACGGAACAATTATTAGAAACCGAGATTAAATGATAGTTGAAGTGTTTGTTTGTAGTTTAGGTATCAATACTTGGGGGACCTTCAAATGTTCAGATGAGGTGTTAAGCTGAGTTGTGGATGTAACCTAATTATGTTTTTATTTGAACCTCTGTTGAGTGCACGGTCTTGATTATAGAAGAATTCATAAATTCATTCTGACGGAATCCATGTAGTATTACGTGAAATCACACCACATTGTCGACCGGTAATAACAGAAAACATTTTGCAAGTCCTTGAAATGTGTCTTTAATTCTAGAAACGAGCGTAAAACTACCCTTGTATTAATTTCTCAATTATTTTTGAAATGTACTATACTTACATCCACAGTTTTAAATTAATTATTCAAATGGAAATCAAGAGACGTTTGGTCAAATTTTTTCAGTTTACACTAATTTCAACATTAGATAAAAAAGCATATTTAATAACCTGACCACACTCTATCCGATTCATTTTCGATTGAGGATGATTATTTTGTCCTTTTTGCAGAAATTCTAAGACCTCTCGGTTTTGGACGACGTTGAGGCCCACCGTGATAAAAATATCCATAGGGATGATATTTAAGTTTCCATGTGTCACAGTCTTATGTTTAAGGATCATTTTTTTCTATACTAACGTCTGATGTAACTAAAGTATAATTAAAAATAAACTACTGGCACTTTTATAACATATGATAATCTGTATTCTTGTACTGTTATGAAACACAGTTTATGGCCAAACTCAGTAAAATTCCGTCTAAATTCCACTTAATTGGTAAATTTAACAACATTTACCGTTATTTTGATGACATGTTTTTTATTAAATAATTAGGAATTTTCTGAATATACTGCCGACATTTACTCGAAGGTTGTAACGAAGTAAGTTCTTTGGATTGTCAAGTGGCCAATGCTATACAAAACTAAATTTAAATATAAGTTTGATAAACAAAACAAAAGTCAATTAAATTCAACAAAAATGAAATAATGAAATGAAAAAACACAAATGTAACTAAATAAACAAACACAAAACGGAACTAAATATAATGTTATGAAATGAACAAAATGCAACTACATGATACTACTGTCTTGACACTATTAATTCTGAACACTTCACGGTAAGGTTGAACGTTGCACGTACTGTAGATATAAAATTTTGTTTGTGCCCCTTTGATTTCTTTTAATCGTAAAACGGACGGATATAACTTCACACAATTTTTTGATGAAAAGAACATCAGATTATATAAGTTTACTGCAATAATAACTTCAATGAGCCATGGCGATTTTAAACTGCATAATACTAAACGGACAGCTAGATTTCTTTTGACATATATTTTAACGGACTTTTTTGTATATTTCTAACGGATAAGTTCACCGACTCTAGGCGTTGTAATTGATTTCAGCAAATATCAAGTTGTTACCATATTAACAAAAACATCATTTGTATCTCCGACACCATATATCATCGACCAGTCCATGGTATTAACAACGTGCTATACGCACAACACAACCGGGCCTAAAAAACCCTGCAAAAATAAATATTGAACCCAAACAAATACTCAATTTATCTATAAATTTGCGTAATATAGCAATTATTCGGACATTCTGGACCGCGAGCATGAAATATCATCTCGACAGCAAAATAGACCTCAATGTACTATATGTATGAATAACTGAAGTTTTTTTTATACTACAGGTACTTATCTTAAATAGATAATATATGAACAGCAATCAGTGATCTCTCGTTGATTCAGACTTTTTATTTCACACGGGAACGAAACTCTACCCAAAAATTGACAACAAAAGTGACAATTTTCGTTCCTATTGTTAATTTTCCTTTTTTTAGAAGATGGTGAGGTGTCTTTGGCCCAATATCATACGGGATATAGGGATTTTGTTTTCACAAAATACTTAAAATCTTTACTAATTTTGTTATAGAAACAAAGATCGGATTTGGACGTTTGACTGTATCTGTCAAAACTTGTTTTACAAACGGGATATCAAATCCTAATTTGTACGGTAATATTGTTTAAATAGCCAGTAAATTTAGATATAATCCATGTAGGCTTATCGAACCTTTGGATAAACTTATTCCCAAATAGTTTCAATTTAACACTGTAAAGCACTGTACTAACATTGATTTTGTTGTTAATAAATTAAAACATACCTAAATATTATTGCTATACAGTTATATGTACTAAATTGTGTTGATACTGTTTACTTATATTTATACATTGCACTAGTTCATATTTACCTAGACTGTTTATGACATTTTTACACTAAATCCATAACATATGAGCTGATTATATTTTGTCTTAAAGAGATGATGTAACTATTAGTTGCTATTGGCTTTGGACTAGCTTTCAGTAACTGAAAATTCTCTCAGATCAGTTCTTTGTGTTTTTTAGTTGGTTTTTGTGCTTTGTTTCGATCTGATGAGTAAAGCCAATTTCAACTGATTTTTATAGTTTGTTCTTATGTTGTGTTGTAACGGCACTTTTCAATTTCAGAGGAGGGTTGGGCGGCCGTAAACACTTTTAACCACGCCACATTCTCTGGGTGTCTGTCCAAAGTCAGGAGCCTGTAATTCAGTGATTGTCGTTTATTACTGTTTCTCAGATTTGTTTTTCGTTTATTGTTTTTTTACATAAATAAGGCCGTTCTTTTTTTCGTTTGAATTATTAGACATTTGTCGTGGGGCCTATAAAATTCCGTTCTCTAGCTTATTGTTGCAAACTTCTACGTCATTTTGATCTCTGGTGGAAAGCTGTGTCATTTGCAATTGGCAATCATACCACATCTTCTTAGTTTGATGTAGGTGACACTATGTTATAAAAATATAGAGTTTTAAAGTTTTTTTTACGGTAGATTCATTTAAAAAAAAACTAGACAAATGTATAAAATCAATTGATGTGTAAATGTATTTTAGTTTTAGAAAATGCCTTTTATGATCTTCAGATTTGTCAATTCGGGAAAAAAGTCTATAATGACAAAAATCTGTTGTGATACGTGTACACTCATATTTTAGACCTAAATACGATATTGTACCACAATTATATATATTACGTAATTTGATCCATATTACACATACATAGATCTTTAATGTCGTTTTTAAATATTGATTAAAGATCATCAATTATTTATTGTAAACTGTATAAGACCGATCAAATGGTAAGTTTTCAAAAACGTGTTCCTATTCTAAAATTTCACATTCAGTCATTTATGGTTGGAAAATTTACATGACTGATGGGGTACAAATTTGATGATGAATGAAAGTTAGGTGAGAATCAACTACCAATGTGCTATTATTTGATGCCTTACCACTTTACTCAACGCCTATGCACATATCATAGAAGCAACAAGCAACACGTGTGGAGCAGGATTTGTTAACAATTCTGGAGCACCCTGTTTTTTTGTAGGGTTTTTTCTTTTCAGTCTGAAGTTTACTTACTGACTTACAAGCAAAATGAACGAGTTTTGTACCGGCCGAATTATAAATATCTGAACTGCCCACACACATAATATTGGTGAAAAATGCCTTTTGAATTAGAATCAAGAGTGTGTTTGCGAGCTATGTGAATGTAGTGAGAGGAGATAAAACCATCAATGTGTATTTGAATCATGTATAAAATAACTACACATGTATAGAAAAATCTTCCAGTTGCTTTGATTAACAAATACTACTTTAAAACATATTTGTTCTATTTGGCAATAAAGAGAAGCATTGCTACGTATTGTTTCCTGAATTTAAGCAGTTATATAATTATTATCATAATCGTTATGACGACATTTGTTACAAAACAAAATTAATAAACGATCACGGTATTAGCCAGTTATTGACGGTTGTCAAAAGTTGTATTTGATTGACCATTTTTGATTAGCGCGGATCCTGAAGTATCGATGCTTTTTATTTTGTTCATAGCTTGCAACACATTGTCCAAACATAACAATGTTAACTTGGCAAATTCTACTCATTAAGTTTAAGTCTGTATGCATAACAATTGAATACATTTGTCCCTGAGAAGAATATTAGTGCAAAGTAATATAGAACCACATGATATACAAATAAGATACAATTGGTTATCTGATACAACTATGTTAAGCTATTATCTTATACTTTAGTAAAAAAAAAATACAAATGACATTTGGCAAAGCACCGGTTTTCGGTGGGGTTCGTGTTGCTCAGTCTTTTAATGTTTATGTAGTGTTTTGTGTAGATTGCTGTTCGTCTTTTCGTTGTTTTGATCTCTTTGTTATGATTGTGTGGATCTCTTTTCGACTTATGAGTTTGATTATGTTTTTCGGTATCTTCCGTAATTTTGGTCCAATTATCTTTAAGCTATAGTACCAAAAATGGTGCAATTAAATTAATTTGGGTTATACTTTAATCACAAGTTATGATATGACAAATGATACAAAGGTCATACAGATGTCAAAATCATGTCTGCAACAATGGAAAAGTATCTTATCAATATGTCATATAGCCGTAAAGCATCAGGAAAGACTATCAAATATCTGATGTAAATACTCAAACAAAGACAAATTCATAGAAAATAAATTGCTAACTTAAGTTCATGCATTCATAGCAAGAGAAGCTTACCTTGCCGACGCATCAGGTCTCCCTTTCTTTTGAGTTCATTTCATTCCCAAAGTTTTGTTTGTCCTTGATTCGTTTCTTTTTAGTCAATTTACGAGATTTGAAGATCGGTAAACTACTGTCTACTTAATTCATTGCCAAAAATGACCAAAGGAATAAACAATACGGACCAGTAAAATAACCTATATTAATATCATATCAAAGAAAGGCTTCAGATTTCCATAATAGGATCAAGTCGCCATAAAAATTAAGGCGTCTTAAACCTAAATAGAAACTGCTAAATTTATTAGTACATTATTGCGACATGAAAAACAGAAATGGAAGACAGAATATTCTACACTGTAAAAAGTAAATAACCCACAACAAAAAAAGTCTAAGGAACCTTACATTTTTCGAAAAACTAAGGATTTTCTACCCCAGGAATAGATTACCTAAGGTGTATTAGGCAAAACCTTTCAGAAGTTTGGGTCTCTAAGTGTCTTTAATTTCGTTCTTTATTTAGCCTTTTTAACCTTTTTATTCAAGCTTCTCTGATGAGTCTTTTGTAAACGAAACGCGCGTCTGGCGTACACAATTTTGATCCTGGTATCAATAATAACACAGATAACTAGGAATTAAGCAACACAAATCCAATCGACAAGAAAAATTTAGTTTCAAGAGTATGTACGCAAAAAAAAAAAAAAATTAGGAAGAAGATTGAATTAAATCAAATCAGAATGTTTAGCATTTCAATAACTCATAGATTTATTCGTTTATTTTTACAGATTCAGCATCTGATAAACGTCCATTTGGAACCACAATGATCACTAACTCGGTATATTTCAAATTTCTATTGCTAATGATGTTTATAATTTTGTTATTCCTTTTAACATTGAACATACAGATTGCACATAATGAAGAACCGACATTGCCAGAACTTGTGACCTATATAGACGAAATAAAACATGTGCGTAAGATCTGCGGCGAACTTTGTAATACCTCTCGTACTGGTCATCCGGGCAAGTTTTTTAACCAAATTAATGCAACGGTTAATTGCAAAGCATTATTTGAAAACGAATATGTTGATTCAACCCATGGATTGCCACTGGCTCCAAGAAGTATTCCTAAAGTTTTTTTACAGGAGTTTACTATGGGAGGCAAAATACAAGTTTATAAAACCTATTTTAATCAGCCGTATCTTGGAAATAATGCTAAAACTCCTATCTGGACCAAATCCTTAATTACTGAGTATTTATCACAAGCGAGGCAAGGAAAATTATTTGGTACTTATGGTATATCTGAAACAAATGCATTAAGAGATGGACTTAGACATGCACCAGGTGTATAAAACGGACGCATCCTAGTGATTGGGTCAGAGAAGCCATGGGTTGAAGCATGTTTGCTAGAAGCGGGCGCAAAAAACATCGTAACACTTGAATATGGCAAAATAAAGTCTGAACATGGGCAAATAACAACAATGGTTCCGTAGGAGTACAGACGTCAATTTTTAGATAACACCCTTGGATTATTTGATGCTGCAGTATCTTTTAGTTCGATCGAACACTCCGGACTAGGCAGATATGGTGATGCTTTAAACCCGTGGGGCGATTTAATTGTAGTTGCTAGAGTATGGTGTGTAACAAGGAAAAATGGATCACTAGTACTTGGTGTACTGTACGATATTCGTCATGATTTTTTAGCCTTTAACGCACATAGGTGTTATGGAATAAAAAGATATCCGTATCTGAGTACGAATTGGAATCAATATTATTTAGGAAAAGGAAAACAACGAGTTCATGTTTGTACAAAATAAATGATCTTATTCCATTGAAAGTTAATATCCTTCCGATTTAATTCTAAAAAAAAATGATTTTTTTTTTGCTAATGCAATTTAAAAAAAAATGTTGTCGTCAGTTGTTGTGTAAAATGAAAAGGGAATAGATAAAAGTAATAAAAGAGGGGCGAAAGATACCAAAGGGACATTCTAACTCATAATTGGAAAATAAGCTGACAACGCCGTGGCTTAAAAAGAAAAAGACCAACAGACAAACAATATTACACAAAACACAACATAGAAAACTAAAGACTGAGCAACACGAACCCCACCAAAAACTTAGGATGATCTAAGGTGCTCCAGAAGGGTAAGCAGATCCTGCTCCACATGTGGCACCCGTCGTGTTGCTCATGTTAGTACCAACCCGGTTTTAAGTCTAAATTCGGTAGGTCACATTCGAGGAAAAGTGGACGGGATTGTAGTAACGACATTTGGAACATATCCGCTATTTTATATACTTAGAACTAAAAAGCGTGGCCTTTCTTCTAAAACTTTACAAGAGAGAGGCGAAAGATACAAAAAGGACAGTCAAGCTGATAAGTCGAAATCAAACTGACAACGCCATGACAAAAAAAGAAAAAGACAAAAAGACAAAAAAACAGTGTACAAAATTCAACATAGTAAACTAAAGACTGAGCAACACGAACCCCACCAAAAACTGGTGGTTATCGCAGGTGCTCCGGAACTGTAAACAGATCCTGATCCACATGTGTTGAAGTTCAAGTTGACAAAATTTTGTTTAATCCACAGCAACATCAAGACCAAATGTGTATACATTAATCAGCGAAATAAAGTAATTTAGTTTATATAATGCAGTATGGTAATGGTATTCCATGAATATGATTGGAAGTCTTTCTCCAAGACTGTTATTTAGTAAACAAATTAATTAAGAGTTTAATTTAAATAGATGGTAGATTATAGAATTGTATAATGGTGGTTTATAGATGAGTGGTTTGATTCCTTTAATTAGTGTTGTTTTTTTTTCTTAACCTGTCTCTGCGTATTCCGTAATAGACAGCATACAGACATAATAGAACTTTGGTCAATAAACCAAACTGACATAAACAGGCAAGATAAAGTTGAATGCTTCAAGTTTCGAAGTATTTGTCACGTTGGAAACGAATTGATTACAGTCTTAGTTATTTTTTCATTGTGTAAACAGCTTTAAAAACATCTTCGCAAAACAGTTTGAAAGCATCTTCTCAAAACATATCATGTTAGTTATTTCTTTTCAACATTACGTAGAAAAGACCATACGAATTACGACAGTGTCATACTTGGAGTGTTTAAATATGCAACCGTAATTTCAATAGGGAGGTATGCAGATGTACACGAGTCACAATCAGTTTCTCATTTTGATGGAATTTGATTAATAATTATAACACTTTATGTGTCATTTTTAGATTTTGTTGAAACTGGTACAGATGAAACGGAGAAACTGATCAAATAGTTGATGTGTTATATCAGACGCTTTGCAATTATTGAGTCATTTACAATGTAGAAATTGATGCTTAATTTCATATAGTCGTAGAACTATGTATATATTATACACATGAAACATACATCAGAATTTTTCACTGGTTTTTTATTTGCGCTTGAGATTCGGTCTCAGTTGATTTTTATCTTCTCGTGATACTTGGAGTGATTAATGGTTTCGCAGATATGATTGCACTGGTAATATCAATAGTTTCGAAAGTGTCTTGTGGATGTTGTATACATTTATCTTCCAGACAGGTCAGTTAATTGTATTTAAATTATCATTTTCTAGCTGAATCCCATTTTTCTGAAAAGTGTTGTGTCGCGACCGCTGTTTAATAATCGATTTCATATCTTATCCATACAAATGACCAGCTTATTTTAAAAGTTTACAAGTTTATTCTAAAAAAATTCAAAATTACTTTACATTTGTGTTCACTAGATACATTATCATTCATCTGAATAGCGAAAATTCATTTGTTGTTTCCTAATTGATGTCTACACATATTCACATGTTTCAAGATTTTATCATTTTGAACGTACGCATACATTTCTACATTTTTTAAACATGGAGTCAAAGGCAGAAAACGTCAGATTCTGTATACCTTCATGAACAATATGGAACAGATATTGCATCAGGTTGTATATAGTAAACCTTACACGATACTTTAAAGATCATTATAATATCTTATTTAGTGTCACTCAGCAGCATCAAGTTCTATAAAACTCTTACTAAGTTACTTGGCTTAACAATTATCACTATCGTCTCCTTATACTTAACGTTTTGGTGCTATTCGGTTATCGGCTCCTCGCCCTAATTTCTTATGTTTCGAGTTACAAATGCTTAAGAAAGTTTCAGGTGTCCCTAAAGGATATTTGTCAATTTTTCGATATGTAGATCTTATTCAAAATTATTTTGTTATGGAAAGAATAGGAATGGACAGGCTTTTAGTCAGTTTTCAGGTTCAGACTAGTATTAGTTTTTCAATGTTATTCGAGAATCATGTTTAAAAACAAGATCAATGCTGTTTACAACTGCAACGAGAATCACTGATGAAATGAGATTGATTACCAGAGTACAGGCACAAATTTATTAGATAGTGTTTTTATGGTTTGCGAAACATAACAAGACGATCAAGTCATTCAAACTTAACAACGTCTTCTTCTCAAAAAATATATTACGCAACCTATCTCGATTACAAACAAATGAGTAAATGTTAGAAAGGATATGATATATCAAATCGTGAAACAATATCTTAACATCATTTTGTTGTGGTACTTCATCTCAAAGTCATAGTGACTACTTCAACATAGAGAAAACATCAACAAATTTAGACGACCGCTAGCATCGGACGGAGAGAAATTATATGTTGTCAATCACGAATCATGTTCACGTATCGCGTTTTATAGATATTTTTTGTAACTTGGGTTGATTGGTTGAGATATGATTTTCTACTTACTAGTATTGCTTACCGTGTATATATTTCTAATTTGGTTGATTTTTGAGTTAGGTAGAGTATATTATATGATACTAGGTGTGTTTGTACATTGTAACATTTGTTTTGTTTATTTCATATTTGGAACATAAGAGAAATAGAACTGCGCTTGTTGTACATTCAACCTATTGCATCAGAAATACTATAAAAGTAAAATAACAAAAATACCGAACTCCAAGGAAAATTCAAAACGGAAAATCCTTTATCAAGTGGCAAAATCAAAAACTCACACACATAAAACGAATGGAAAACAACTGTCATATTCCTGAATTGGTACAGGCATTTCCTTATGTAGAAAATGGTGGATTAAACCTGTTTATAGCTAGCTAAACCTCACACTAGTATGACAGTCATATAGCATTCTGTTTTATTGACAACAATGGGTGAGCAAAACAAAAAGACATAATAGGAAAAAAATGTCAAATATTGGGGTACAGCAGTCAATATTGTGTTATAATCTTAATCAGTATAAAAACAAATAACTATTCAAAGAAAGAAACAAAAAATGGTATATAGACACTCTACAGACAAAGTACATAAGCAAAAGTGAAAGACAAGAATACAAAAGTGACCATAACACAATAACACAATGGCGGGATGTATTAATACCTAGCCACGCCAGAAGAATATACCAAAAATGGACTAATCAGTAAAGGTTAACATATACAAATATACATAGACAAATAAAAAGAAAACTATAACACGTGATTAAGATGAAAAACAACGTCAGTACCTGATGCAATATCTGTTCCATATTGTTCATGAAGGTATACAGAATCTGACGTTTTCTGCCTTTGACTCCATGTTTAAAAAATGTAGAAATGTATGCGTACGTTCAAAATGATAAAATCTTGAAACATGTGAATATGTGTAGACATCAATTAGGAAACAACAAATGAATTTTCGCTATTCAGATGAATGATAATGTATCTAGTGAACACAAATGTAAAGTAATTTTGAATTTTTTTAGAATAAACTTGTAAACTTTTAAAATAAGCTGGTCATTTGTATGGATAAGATATGAAATCGATTATTAAACAGCGGTCGCGACACAACACTTTTCAGAAAAATGGGATTCAGCTAGAAAATGATAATTTAAATACAATTAACTGACCTGTCTGGAAGATAAATGTATACAACATCCACAAGACACTTTCGAAACTATTGATATTACCAGTGCAATCATATCTGCGAAACCATTAATCACTCCAAGTATCACGAGAAGATAAAAATCAACTGAGACCGAATCTCAAGCGCAAATAAAAAACCAGTGAAAAATTCTGATGTATGTTTCATGTGTATAATATATACATAGTTCTACGACTATATGAAATTAAGCATCAATTTCTACATTGTAAATGACTCAATAATTGCAAAGCGTCTGATATAACACATCAACTATTTGATCAGTTTCTCCGTTTCATCTGTACCAGTTTCAACAAAATCTAAAAATGACACATAAAGTGTTATAATTATTAATCAAATTCCATCAAAATGAGAAACTGATTGTGACTCGTGTACATCTGCATACCTCCCTATTGAAATTACGGTTGCATATTTAAACACTCCAAGTATGACACTGTCGTAATTCGTATGGTCTTTTCTACGTAATGTTGAAAAGAAATAACTAACATGATATGTTTTGAGAAGATGCTTTCAAACTGTTTTGCGAAGATGTTTTTAAAGCTGTTTACACAATGAAAAAATAACTAAGACTGTAATCAATTCGTTTCCAACGTGACAAATACTTCGAAACTTGAAGCATTCAACTTTATCTTGCCTGTTTATGTCAGTTTGGTTTATTGACCAAAGTTCTATTATGTCTGTATGCTGTCTATTACGGAATACGCAGAGACAGGTTAAGAAAAAAAAAACAACACTAATTAAAGGAATCAAACCACTCATCTATAAACCACCATTATACAATTCTATAATCTACCATCTATTTAAATTAAACTCTTAATTAATTTGTTTACTAAATAACAGTCTTGGAGAAAGACTTCCAATCATGTTCATGGAATACCATTACCATACTGCATTATATAAACTAAATTACTTTATTTCGCTGATTAATGAATACACATTTGGTCTTGATGTTGCTGTGGATTAAACAAAATTTTGTCAACTTGAACTTCAACACATGTGGATCAGGATCTGTTTACAGTTCCGGAGCACCTGCGATAACCACCAGTTTTTGGTGGGGTTCGTGTTGCTCAGTCTTTAGTTTACTATGTTGAATTTTGTACACTGTTTTTTTGTCTTTTTGTCTTTTTCTTTTTTTGTCATGGCGTTGTCAGTTTGATTTCGACTTATCAGCTTGACTGTCCTTTTTGTGTCTTTCGCCTCTCTCTTGTAAAGTTTTAGAAGAAAGGCCACGCTTTTTAGTTCTAAGTATATAAAATAGCGGATATGTTCCAAATGTCGTAACTACAATCCCGTCCACTTTTCCTCGAATGTGACCTACCGAATTTAGACTTAAAACCGGGTTGGTACTAACATGAGCAACACGACGGGTGCCACATGTGGAACAGGATCTGCTTACCCTTCTGGAGCTCCTTAGATCATCCCAAGTTTTTGGTGGGGTTCGTGTTGCTCAGTCTTTAGTTTTCTATGTTGTGTTTTGTGTAATATTGTTTGTCTGTTGGTCTTTTTCTTTTTAAGCCACGGCGTTGTCAGCTTATTTTCCAATTATGAGTTAGAATGTCCCTTTGGTATCTTTCGCCTCTCTTTTATTACTTTTATCTATTCCCTTTTTTATTTTACACAACAACTGACGACAACATTTTTTTTTAAATTGCATTAGCAAAAAAAAATCATTTTTTTTTAGAATTAAATCGGAAGGATATTAACTTTCAATGGAATAAGATCATTTATTTTGTAAAAACATGAACTCGTTGTTTTCCTTTTCCTAAATAATATTGATTCCAATTCGTACTCAGATACGGATATCTTTTTCTTCCATAACACCTGTGTGCGTTAAAGGCTAAAAAATCATGACGAATATCGTACAGTACACCAAGTACTAGTGATCCATTTTTCCTTGTTACACACCATACTCTAGCAACTACAATTAAATCGCCCCACGGGTTTAAAGCATCACCATATCTGCCTAGTCCGGAGTGTTCGATCGAACTAAAAGATACTGCAGCATCAAATAATCCAAGGGTGTTATCTAAAAATTTACGTCTGTACTCCGACGGAACCATTGTTGTTATTTGCCCATGTTCAGACTTTATTTTGCCATATTCAAGTGTTACGATGTTTTTTGCGCCCGCTTCTAGCAAACATGCTTCAACCCATGGCTTCTCTGACCCAATCACTAGGATACGTCCGTTTTTTACACCTGGTGCATGTCTAAGTCCATCTCTTAATGCATTTGTTTCAGATATGCCATAAGTACCAAATAATTTTCCTTGCCTCGCTTGTGATAAATACTCAGTAATTAAGGATTTGGTCCAGATAGGAGTTTTAGCATTATTTCCAAGATACGGCTGATTAAAATAGGTTTTATAAACTTGTATTTTGCCTCCCATAGTAAACTCCTGTAAAAAAACTTTAGGAATACTTCTTGGAGCCAGTGGCAATCCATGGG